TTTCTTCCTACACGTCTCATTATGTTTTTCTGTGATCGAGATGCAAAATTCGTCTAAACGTGTTTCAATATATTACGATAAAAATAGAAACAATACAGTATACAACCACTATCAGTCGCACTGAATGCAATAACTGCCGTCGAATGGCATCAGCCTGGTCTGCCATGTGCTCACGTAAAAGTGCAGAAGCAAAGAGCACAGCGGATAGTAGCAGTGACGACGATGATAAAGAAGCCGAAAGGCCTCAAGTATCTGGTAAAAGACTATTTGAATGTGAAGTAGAGGCAATTTCGGTAGGTAAAAAGCTGTTTAGTATGCAACCCGTATTTTCGGTATGTGACCGGTATTTTTGCTACTCTTCATGATGACTCATTTTGGTTTTGCTTAAAAAGCGCATTTGAGAACTTCTTGAGATCTCAAAAACCAGCTTTGTAGGAGATCTCCAGGAGCCCAGATTTCTGTTCCCACAAGCAGAACAAGAGGGTTTTGTCTGTGGGAAAAGAACTCTCAGAACAGAACATAATTGTTCCGTTATCCGGGGAAAAACTGCGAACAAAAGAACAGAATTGTTCTGTTTTGGGGAACGGATGTTTCAGTTGATATTTAGTAAAAAATTCAGTTGGTATTTGGGTACGTGACGGGTATGTGAGTAGTATGTGTACCGAATTTTTTTCGGTAGTAATACTGCTTTTTCCCCCTTGAGAAGAGGGCTGTACAGCGACGTTCATTGATGTATCATATGGCAAGTGTGAAACATAAAAGACGGCTAGAACGTTAAACTATGACTGATCCAGGAATGGAGATTTATAGATCTAAACTGGAAGATATTTGCATGAGACAAATTGTCTCTCTTTCGCTGGAAATGGCATATCAGGCTCATCATATCTTAACTACTCACTGACCCCCACATAGCCGGGCGTTACCGAAAAAGGGAACCGAAACTCGTCTCAATCCGAATCAAATTCAGTGTCTCCGACAAGATCAATAACGGATTGCAACGAAATATGCGTTGGAAACCGGAGGAGATCGCAGCTGAAATGCAGAAGAAGAATACGAAAGACGGCCGCTTTCTGTTTAGTTTTGCTAAGTTTCTTAAGGCGGGACAAATCCGTACTTTTCTCTCGTCTCAAAACAACCAGAAAAAAGTTGACACCGATCTTATCCATCGATGAAGAAGATGAGGACGAATTTGAAGAGCAACAAATATCTACAGAAGTTGCACAAAGATTTTTCTTGCGAACGAAAATGGGTAGCAATGAAAACCCTAGTTTACAGCGTCAGTCTCTTCAAAATCGAGCAGTATCACTGGATAAACGCCCCGCGTCTACCCCCACCGTACCGGCAAAGAAACGGTCTTCTTCCTCTTCGAGAAAGCGAAAATGAGAGATAAAACACACATCATAGAAAATTTGACATATACGATACAAAGTGGTGGCACTGTAATCACGATACTTCATTTGCTATGAAACAGTTCTTTTTTCTGTCAAAAAGTATATTTTTAAAAATTGATGACAAGGTAATTGTTTGGCACGCCTGGTTGTAACACATTTTCTGACCTTTTTCACCACTTCTGAAAAACATGTTTTGCACTCGGTTTGTAGAGAGTTGAATACCCTATGCGATAGCATGATCGCATTTTTAAAGAAATGTTTTTTAGGTGCCGAAAAACTGGTTCGATTCGGAAAACTTCGGTTTTAGAAACCATGTTTTTTCCATTATTTGTTCTCCAAACTATTCCGTTTCAACACTAAAAAATCGAAAAACATGTCCTTCTGTTCAGCTTTTGATGGAATTTCAAATGAAATATTGCTTTGAAGAAAATGGACAAAAATTAATAGAGTTATAGACAAAATACTGAGGATAGCACTTTTTCGAACTTTCCGACGAATCTCATTTCATAAATTCTGTAACTCCATCAGAATAAGTCAGAAGAGGAAAAAAATTTGATTGTAGAATCCGAATATAAAATAAAAACCATATGTTAATTTTTTGCTCGTGACTGTTTTTCTGGGCCGGCTAATAAGTCGTCTCTTAAGAACCAAGTTTTATTGAACGTAGACTTCAAAAGTGAATCCTTTAGTGAATCAAGCCCATTATCAATCTTTTCTCTAAATGGATTCAGTTAAATATGTACGATCACATCCTGGCATGTATCATTCGATAGAGCACGAAGGTAATTTTAGAAAGGAGTATTCTTTTAATATTGTTGCTAATCATTTAATTGAAAGTATTTGAACTATTTTACCTATTGTTGTTTTAATTTTATTAGTTTACTCATCTATTTATTTATTGTATTTAACTGATGAGAATAAAACTAATTTTCTTTGTGTTCTAAAAGCTATTGGGCATCAATGATATTGAAGTTGGTAGCACGACTGATGCTCCCGAGACAGTTGCTCCCACGACACTTGCTCCCCGAACACTTACTCCCACTGACAGTTGCTCCTGGACACATGTTCCCCGGACACTTGCTCCGCAACGACACTTGCTCCCCAACGATACTTGCTCGCCGATCATACTTGCTCTCTATATGTGTCATTTAATTTCATTTGGCAGTCAGTTGTCTTTTTTCTCGACAAGTTCAAGAAAGTTTTTCAATGGTTCAAAAAAGATAATCTTATGTTGCTGCTCAGATTATTCAAGTAGAAGCCGGTGCTAGAGAAGCACGAAGACGTGAACAAATTCGTTGAAAAATGCGTATTTTAAATATAGTGAATGAAACAACAACAAATTTCGACAAAGTTTTGACAAAGCTTTAGCTCAAAATATCCAGCAGCTATTAGGATCTCTTTTTTTTGAGATTTATTAGGATTTTTTAATAAATCCTCATACATTTTGAAATAAATCTCACATAATTTCTGAGGGCAAGCGCTGGGAGCAAGGGCAAGGATGTCGATGCGTTGAAGTACTGATACAGCTAGTGAGTCCCAATAAATTCTCTGTAAAAAATTAATCTCAAAAAAATTAACTCCGATAGGTCCTCATTATTGAAAAGCAAATATGAGGAGCAAGTATGATCGGCGAGCCAGTATCGTTGGGGAGCAAGTATCGTTGGGGAGCAAGTATCGTTGGGGAGCAAGTATCGTTGTGGAACAATTGTCACTGGGAAGCAAGTGTCCTGGGAGGATGTATCCGGGAAGCAAGTGCCTCGGGAGCACCAGTCATGGATTCATTGAAGTTATGAGATGGATAGAAATGTTGAATTTGAATACGATTCTTGTACTGATCCTGATAGTGTAGTTCGATTATTAGATGTTGATAATCGAGTTTTATTACCATCTCAAGAATTTATCCGTGCTTTAATTACATCTAATGATGTTTTGAATTCTTGAGCTTAACCTTCTTTAGGAGTTAAAATAGATGTAGTTTCTGGACGTTTAAACCAATTTATGTTTACAATTTTATTAAATTCAGTTATCCATGATCAATGTTCTGAAATTTATGGTGTTAATCATTCTTTTATGCCTATTGCAGTTGAATCTGTTTCTTTATTAGATTTTAGTAGTTATTAATATAGCTTATTTAAAGTTTTGGTTTTTTAGGCTAAAGACTTGTTAATACATAATAATTCCTTTTCATTTGTTAAAGTTAAGTTCTTGACCTTTTTTTTGCCATTATAGTTACGTTTTCTTTTATTAATTTTTATATATTAGTAAAGTTTAATAGTAAAAATATGATTTATATATTGTTGTTATTTATGTTAATAATAGTAATTTGATTTAAAGACGTAAATCGTGAAAGAGGTAAAAAAAAAAAAACAAAAGCAAAAAACAAAAGTTTTTTCGTGTATCATACATTGTGTTTTATTTTGTAACAATCCAGCTCCTTATCCAGTTTTGGGTTTATTATCATCAACATCATTACAAATTCTCAGTGATAATCCACACTGGAATGCTGATGGTACATTTAGAACGTCACCAAAACTATTTTATCAAAACTACGGTATTCGTACGTGGGATGAATTTAGCACACAGTCCGTTGTTTATACTATATTACTTAATAAGGAAGAGGTGTCGTATCAGGTATTATTAAATGCACTAACAAATAGATTAAGAATCCATATTTTAAAAAAGTAGCAGCTACAAGCTATAAAGTTTCCACTTCACTCTATATGTTTTATAAAATTTCTATTATATGCACATTCGGAATCTATACTTTATTAAAATAGGAACTACAAGCTCGTTTTCCAAACTGAGATCACTTTTCAAAATTGATAGATTAAGAAAGTCAAAAGCTTTTCCAGTCAAGAACCGTCCCAGTTATACTGAGAATTAAGCATTTTTAACGATTGCAGCTCTCGTAAGACAATCCTATCTCGAAGGATATTCAAAAAAATCTCAACAATTGCAAAATGATATCACCCATATTTTCGTCGCTTTCTGATGAGCTTTGCATGATATTCCGTTGACACTTTCGGTTGGAATAGTTTTATATTCGAGCACAGTGTAGATTAGAGCATCTCGACCCTACTTCACTGTCCAAGCATTTCTATTTATAAAAAAGCAAATTGTAAAAGAAACTGGTATTTTTTTGTGAAAATCTTTATTATATTGCAGCCGGATAAAAAACCCTTTCAGACCAGGAAATAATCCTTTAAACTCAGTGGGTCAAAGCGTGCAAATCTACGGAAGATTTGACAAAAAAGCATATTAGCAAAAGTTGACACTGACGAGGGAAAATATTTAGGTGTTTAAGCCCTTTAGATCCCATCTTTTGGCGATAAACAGACCTTAATGAGGTATGAAAAACGTCAAGAGGATTCGTGCGCTCGCGCTTTCATTCCAGAGTTATAGCCATTTTAGTAGAATTTCAGCCTTTAGCTCGGTATGGACCAATAAATCGAATGACATTATTTCAGCCTGAAATTTAGCCCGCAGATAGCTATACTTGTGACTAGAAAGCCCTGAAATTTTAGCTCAAAGGAATGTTTCCTTCACGAGATATTGAATTCGCAAAAAACAAGAGATTCGCGTATCTTTCACAGTATACTAGTTAAGGGCCCCCGCCCTCTCAGAAATTATCTCCTACACCGTGCATCCGATCTTGACGAAACTTTCCATAAATGTTCGGCACAATGAGTTACTGGAATGAAAAGAATTTTTTGCCTCCAAGTCTTACGGTTTAGGAGTTCTCCAGAGATCAAGGTCCAAAAAGGACCCTGAACGGCGTCCCAAGATTTTTTAATATACTTCAAGCTGGAGAGTTCGGGTTTGTTTTATTTTAAACTAGACACCTAACTACATCGACTGACCGGCGCCGGTTTTTTTCAATTAAGCCTTTATTGGTTTTCCAGGCAACCAACAACCTGCGAAACCCAAAAAAGCCTTCCTGATTTTCTAAAAATCCTCAGTTTGACAAAAAACTAAGACTTAATTCAAAAATCGACGCCGGTCAGTCGATGTATTTTTTTTCCTCTTTTAAACAAAAAAAGAATGAACTCTGTACGATAAATCGCTATTAAAAATCTTGGGACGCACTTCAGGTGTAACTCTTATATAGCGAAAACGCTGTGTTAAACGCTGTATGAAATAGTCGATTTTATGACTTCTACGAAAAAGTCTGTAACTTTTCGATGCAACGTCATACAGAGTCGTGCGAAGTCTTATTTTGATCAGAAACGTTTGCTCTACAAAGCTGTGTTTTCAGAAAAATTTTAATTGCATAAGTATCCAGGAAAAAACCCATTTTTGAAGATCCATTTTTTGGAGGCTCTTAGAAAACTTGCTCAAAATCCCGGAAAAGCCACTTTTGTAACCAAAAGCAATACAGATTCTGGAAGTAGACACTTCAGGCTATCTTTTCATGTGCGTATCTCAAAATCGATTTTTTGACCGAAAATCACCATTTCTGAGAGGGGGGACCCTTAACTTTGCGAATTCAATATCTCGTGAAGGAAACATTCCTTTGAGCTAAAATTTTCAGGGCTTTCTAGTCACAAGTATAGCTATCTGCGGGCTAAATTTCAGGCTGAAATAATGTCATTCGATTTATTGGTCCATACCGAGCTAAAGGCTGAAATTCTACTAAAATGGCTATAACTCTGGAATGAAAGCGCGAGCGCACGAATCCTCTTGACGTTTTTCATACCTCATTAAGGTCTGTTTATCGCCAAAAGATGGGATCTAAAGGGCTTAAACACCTAAATATTTTCCTCGTGAGACAAATTTGGTGTACAAATTGACCGCGCACCTTCTCTCTTGTTACCGTAAAGAAGAGAAAAATAGTTAAAAAAATGAGCACAAGTCCAAAAATACGACAGAATTGGTTGTATACACTATAAAAGTGATAGAAAATAATAGAGAAAACTAAAGGAAGCCTGATTTGATCCCAAACCCAATGCCCAAGTCTTGACTTGGGTACGCAAACCCAAACCTAATACACCCAATTCGCTTGAGTTTGGGGTTGTAACATACCTAGATATATGGTCTACAGTGTCCTCTACAAGACTAGATTCAAGAGGCATCTCGAAAATCCACGGTTCGGGAGCTATGGAGGCTTTTCCCGAACCTGAGGACTCCGTTGCCGTTAAGCTTGCGGTTGTTAGAACTGAATGAAAACATAGGTTGTCGACTATGCTGAATCCCGTGGGCAGTCCTATTTTTCAAAACAGTTCCGAAACCTACTGAAAACGAACCTTAGGTGAAATACCCCATAATTTGGATGGATCTGCATAAATTTTTTAATTTTACGCAAAAATGGAATATTTCACGTAAGGTTCGTTTCCAGTAGGCTTTGAAACTGTTTTGAAAAATAGGACTTCCCACGAGATTCAGCATAGTCGACAACCTATGTTTTCATTCATTTCTAACAACCCCAAGCTTAAAATTACGGATCCTGAAACCAAAAAAATGCTTGAAGTATATGTTTTAAAGTGTGCTTGCTCTACAAACTGATCGTAAAAAATGGGTGGAAGGCTCCCTCCCTTAAGAGAGTGGGAAGTGACGATAGCTACGTTTTAGAAATTGTTAATTTTTAACAACTTTGATTGGTGACATATAAACCCTCCCTATAGATATAGAACTCTGCCATCAAGAAAAGTGTCAGCTCCATCGATCCACAGGAAACGGATTTACATATTTGAGCGTGGGTGCTCTTTATTGCGTGTGCTTGATTCCTCAGATTTTGGATTTTATTGCCTGCTACTGTAATTTTTCATAATTTCAAGATGTTTGTCAAAGTAAAACCAAAAGAACAAGGATCAATGATATTCAACGTGAGCGTAACACCCCGACACATAAAAACGAAAAAAATCAACCAATGAAAGAATGAGAGAGTCGAGATAAACGGACAAACGAATAAAAAAACATTAGCAAAGTAGAGAATTCATCATTTCGCTTGTTTCAATGCTTGTTCAAAATCTTGAATGAGATCTTCCGCCTCTTCAACGCCAATAGAGACTCTCAAGAGGGCAGGACTGACACTTGTATCATACTGGTAACGCCAATCGACCAATGTCTCGACGCCACCCAAACTCGTGGCCTGAGCACAGAGAATTAGCGATCGAGCAAAGGACGTGGCTTGAGACTCGGACTCGAGCTCGAAGCTAAATGTGGCCGGCGGAAGACGAAGATAACGGGCGGCAAGCGAGTGACTGGGATGCGATTCTAAACTTGGATGATGAACTTTCTTCACTTTATGTCCATCGACTCGTTGTTGTTCTAGCCATTGGACTATGATCGAAGCCGTTTGACATTGCCGTCGAATACGAAGGGAGAAAGTTCTCATCGATCTTAGTAGAAGCCATGTTTCCAGACTGCCCATGACAGCGCCATCAATGGAACGTTCTGCTAAGAGTTTGCATGTGAGTATGTCAGACAACGAGGGATGAACTATGAGAACACCGCCAAGCAAATCACTGTGTCCCGAAAGATATTTGGTCAATGCATGCATGACAACATGGGCTCCATGTTCAAAAGGACGTTGACCGAGCGGCGACGAGAGAGTGCTATCCACTGCAAGACAAGCTCCAGTTCGAGCGGCTAACTCAGCAAACCATTCAATATCGACAAGAGTCGTATATGGATTGTTCGGACTCTCAAGCCAAATCAAGTCGAGGGTACGCTCTTCCTCGGCGTCTGCTGGTCGCCAAAGTGAATGGTTTGTGTGAGACTTATTTTTCTCTTGATCATACAGTTGTTTACATTGCTCCCATGTGAAAAATTCAAGTTTTCCACCTACATTTTGACGTTCACTCCATAGTTTGACTGCGTCCTTGACGCCATGATAGCCTGCATCCAGATAGATGCGTCTTGGCTTAATGCAGTTAATGAGTGCCGTGACTGCACTAAGTCCACTCGAGTAAGTGACTGCCTGACCACCTTCCACTGCTCCAAGCACAGCCTCGACTCTTCTCCTTGTAACATTGTCCATTCGACTGTACACTTGACCGTATGATTCTGGCGCACCGGAAATAAAAGTCGTTGATAGATGAAGAGGAGGCGCGATGTCCCCAGTGACTTCGATGCCATCGTCGCCGTGACATTCAATCGTCGAACCATATATGGGAAACGGCAGCATGCTTAGTTTTGACGATGGATGGTGAACCTTCCATGGACTGCCGTCGTTCATGCTACCGTTGGTACTACTCATGGCACGCGCTAACCGCACTGAACGCGACGCGAAGAAGAGGCACCGAATCTGGAACATACTTCAACAGAGCATAGAGAAGGGCGACAGGGTTGTCTAGGATGAATCTATGGAGTTTCTGCTGTGGTGCTAAGTATTTTGTTTTCGAGTTTTGACGCCAGATTCAAAAGGAGACTTTTGTTTTAACTAGAGAGTTCTGACTGCAAGTATCTCCAATAACCAGAGGAAAAATGTCGAACAACTTGTCCCTGTCTTATTCCATGAACTCTCGGAGAAAAACGATTTCCGAAAAAGATTCCTTATATTATATTCAGATTTGCCGTGAAATAGCGAGTCTATATTGAACGCTCGAATGACGTTCGAATCTCCTCGATCCATGAGCACAAAGACAATCAATACTGCGTCAAGAACTCTTTTAGTGAAGGTGCGTTGGTGAAAATCGATCTCTGCAACGGGAGTTTCTGAGCCAACGAGTTCTTTCGAAGAGATTTTCTCTCAATTGAGCCATACTGTATGTGAATTTTGTCAAGGTTAAAATCGTGTCAACAGAAGACTTTTCTATGTTCAAGCAAAGTTCATTTGTTTCTATTCGTCAAAACGGAAGAAAACTTCGTCGACCTCCAAAGACCGAATGTCTCGAATGGCGTTTGTAGGAAAGAATTCACTCGATTCTCGATGGACACTACTCTCAAGAATTTCAAATGTATGAAACTTTTCAAAGCAATAGCTGACAGTTGTCATCTATCGACCATCCGTGTCGTTTCTTTAGCGCACTACCCGTGAAAAACTCTGTTGAACACTTCACCTGTGTTTGATCGGCAAAGAGTTGAACTTTTCATTGACAACGTCTAATCTTCAGTTAGAAGAAACAAAGTTGATGAGACACTTGGACAAAGAGAAAAAGATTGAATTAACGCTTACCTTTGTCTATTAATTGTTTCTCAACGGTCTGTGCAGCAAAAAATGATGTGTTCACCTGATTCTTTTCATCAGTATTGACATTGCATTCGATATCATGCGAGAGCACAGATTGTGTCGAAGAATTCACATGCACCAATGGTAGAATAAGTCACTTGTTTACGAGAAACAACACTAATAACATTTATAGGAATGTGGCGACGAAAAAAAAGTGGAGGAGTGCAGCTGCAAAAATCCACATTTTATACAATTATCCTTATATATTGATGCTATAACGATGGGGTTATCTAAACAAAGTTTCCAAATCAGATCTATGGGAGAAAAACGATTAGTTTTTAAAAATGGAGAGCTGCACTTTTTGTTTCTGAGCTCTTCTCTTATTATTATAAGTATGATAGATTAGTCTACGATAACGGTATTGATAAACAGCACTTAGTGAAGCATAGCTGAGTACATCATGGAATCGAGCAATAGAGTAAAAACTTACTAGGTAAAAAAAGAAGAGAAAATAATAGAAACAAGTTAGATTCTCCAAAACATTGTCGCCTAGAGTATCAACTAGAAAGCACTTCAGTTTCAAATCTTTCTTCCAACAATATTAATTTAGAAGACTACAGAATTTATTCTGATTGAGATGTTAATCATACTTTATTGTGCTCAGTGCTTTAACTGATATTCAGAATGTTTTGTAATTTGCTTTAGTTTCGTTTTCTGAATCGTTCTCGCTTCCGTAATCCACACGTAGGATGTACAATTAAAAGATATCGGAAAAGTAGCAGAATGGATCTGAAAAACTGTTCATTAAGTATTTCTGCAAAAAAGATCTGGGAATAACGAATAGCCTGGAACGAAAATATAGACATAGAGCACATTATTATAACATTGTTATGTTTATGCCATATCATACGTATCGTTTCGATAAATCTCTAATTAAATAACTAAATCCATACACTTTGTTATCAAATGATCGAAAAATAAATGCATCCACAGGGGTTCAAAAATGAAATTCAATCGACTGGCAATCAAATTGTGAATTCGTTCATTGGTCTCATTAGCCTGTTTCCTCAATTGCTCATGTTTCTTACTATCATGGTTTTGCTCATGTAGATATGGTTTCAAAGAACACTCATGTATGCATACAATTGGTTTAATGATGATGTGGCCATAAGATCTATTCCACAACTTATTGGAAAACAAAGAGGGAGAGGACTCTCAAAATAAATTAGATTAGCATTACAATGAGACTACAATTAATGTTTTTCCGAGATCTATCCTACCTTTTGTTCCTTTCAAGATCCTCTGTGCTAATTTTCCGACATCTTTTCTGATTTTTGGCCACAGTACGTCTTTGTTCTTTATACTGAAGTTATAGAGTCGTATAGTATAAAAATATATATATTAGAACACCTGTGTAAATATGAAAATAAGCAAAAAGTAAGAATGATACCACGCTGATAAACGTTGATAAAGTTAGCACCATATTCGAATATTTTCCACCAAAATTCACTTCAAAACTTGGTCCAAACGGAAAACCACTTGGTTCAAGTAGAACTCGACGAGCTCTGCAAAAAATGGATGGAGTTCATTTAAACACTGAACGAACCGTTTGAAAGAACAATTTAAAAACCCGAATTTTCCCTTATAAAAACGACTTTTGCAATAAAACCTTCCCAGATTCATTCCCGCACTTGGTCCAGTGCTAAAAAACACAGTGTTCGGTAGAACTCGTCTAGACGGATGCAACCGTGTACGTTTTAGACCATTGTCTGGACGAAAATCTCAGAAAGTTTTGCAGAGACCGTTTTTCTCTTTGGTATAAGAGAAATAAAAATTCCACACAGTCATTTCTCGGTTTGGTCGAGGTCTGGAACAGACTTTTTCTAACTCCACACAACTAGCTCTTTATCACATAATCACATGCTGCTTCAGTCAAGATTTTTTCAGTGAGTATAGAAATTTACAGCAAGCAAACGTCACAGAACTCTGGAGTTCGCAATGCTGAAAGTCAATCTGAAAACAGAATTCCAAAATATCTATTGATTATCGAGCACAAATTATACCAGTCAACCATCTATGCTCAAGATACATGCTCATAATAGTGACAGTCGATCTCGAGAAGTATAGTAATTACTATTGCAACATGGTTAAATACTTTATCTTTGTCTGAACATAGATTAGAAGGACATTGTTAGTTAGTGGATGTTGTTACTCTTCGTTACTGTTTTTCGCGATGGAGTACCCGAAATGAAGTTATTTGGACGAAATATTATGTCATAATATTTGTTGACAAAGAACAGAGAAGATACACATTTTAATATAGCCAGTTTTCTGTTTATCTGCTATTACGAAATATTTTTTCGAAAAAGAAAACAGAGCATTTTTAAAAAGCAAACAAAACCTATGCATATCTATGCAAACAGTACTTAAACTATACTTCAATAATATGAATCATTCTTATTCACTATGTGTTGTTACATTTCAAAAGATAAAATTTTGAGAATAAAACAAATACGTGCTTTAATCTTTTTCTTCGTGTCAACGAACTGTGTGATATTATTTCAAAGAAATCAAGCCATTTCATGTACTGCATTATTATCGATGTATGCAATAACATCATCTTGTATACATAAAGAGAAGAAGAAAGAGAGAAATTTTGTGTGTATAGAAGATGATGTTATTGCATTGGACCAGTGTAGTTCAGCAGCATCACAGGCGAGAGGACTCCCATGGACTTCTATGGACTCCTGGAGTCCGGGAGTCCAAGAGCTCCTGTAAAGCTCAGCGTCAACCAGTTTCCACATACAACATCCCAATTAACATTTAATTCGTATATAAAGAGCCGATCAGTGACAAAACTCATATTTCTCAGACCGACGTGAATGCACGCTTTGTTAAACATACATTACTTGTGATCTTGGATAATAAATAGATATATACAAGTAATGTTCATCTTCGATTCACTGACCCCTAACTGAAAAATGCGTTTTTACCACAAATTTTCCAATACAAGCAGTTTTTGCAGGGAAAATTGTTGCAGAAACCCAGCCTTTTTACTATTTCACTAAAAAAACGCTTCCTGTGACAAAAGTGTGAAAGACAACGTAGTTCAAAAGGTCGAGGTGCATACTAGAAGCAGTAATGTGGACGAAAGTAGGAATTTACGTTTCCTCATCCGAAAACCCGCTAGTAAAATTAAAAACTTCGTTCTAATGTTTAAGTTGATCCGGCAGCGAAGAGACTAAGTGTAAATACGTATTTTGATGTGCTATCTAATGCCGTGTGATTTAAGTGTCTTGCTTGGAGGTTTTATTCGATTTTTAAAATTTGGATCCGCGAATGTGGAAGAGTTTTGAGAAAACTTTATCGTACTAACTTTCAACTCGGAATTTCGCAACCTTCTATGTATATTCAGTTCTGAATTCTCTTTCGAATGGTCTTTAACGCAGGTCTCTATCACTTACCTGCTCTGAAATACTTTTGAATTAAGTTGGGATTCGATAAGTTTAACGTCAGAAAAATGTTTTTTTGATCAACTAAATAGTTCTCATCCTTGAGGATGAGATACTGTGAAAGATAGCATTTTTTCTTATGACACGAGTATTTCGCGACGGGCTATGGCTGAATTTTATCGAATAAGAAATTTAATTGTTCTTTTCGCATTAACACGTGTGTAAATATACATATACATATATCTACCTACGAATCTAACTACAACGGTCCAAGAAAAGAAACTTTTAAACAATTCTACTTGTTGTTCACCTACATTTTCAAAATTTTTATTTTTTTTAAAAATTAGCAATTGACAACTGTGAAGTGCGGCCAGAATAATAATGCCTAACGCTCTTCTATTTTTAGTTCCTAGTAAAGGCGGATTGGGCACCATGTCATTCTCTACAAGACAGGCTAATCAAGTTTCTAAGGAATAATAGTTGACGGTTCACAAAGCCGTGAGACTAAGAAAAAGAAATCATACTGAAATGAGAATTTCGTTTGTTTCAGTTTTTTCTACCTCAAATTTTGATTTTAAAAGGTTAACAAACATTATATTTTTCTCAGCTTTTCCGCTTTCGATAGAAGTACAGGTA